AAATAGCAAAATCGCACGTTGAGTCGAGTAAGAAAGCGAAAGAGAGAAAAAAGGAATACAGAGAAAGGGAGAGAGAGAGAAGGGGGGGAGAGAGAGAGAGAGAGAGAGAGAGAGAGAGAGAGAGAGAGAGAGAGAGAAAGAAAGAAAGAGAGAGAAAGACGAAGCCGGACGATCCTGTAAGTCGCGTCGATGATAACGCGGATAACTCGGGAAAACCACGAGAGAGTTGACGTGCAAAGAAGACGAAGAGGTCGACGATATCGCGGATGACGACTTGAGGGTCGAAAGACGATGTGGAGTTCGCGTAGAGTGAACGTAACACGAGTTCCAATAGGAATGACACCGCTAACGAGATCGGCGCGCGGGCATCGTCGAGTACGAAGAGCTGAATAGTTTCTTTCCAGCCGAGCCGGCGATGGATAACGTCGGGACTGCCCCACGGACTAGTTGCGGATGTTGGAAATCTTGACTCGTGGTAAACGATAGGGGAAATCAGATGATTTTCCGAGCACGCAATAAGACGAGGCACCACGGATCGCGTGATCATTGGGACGTCGACAGAGTGGTTGTCACTTTTGATGAAAAACGACACGAAATCACTAATGATTATTGGGCGAAATGGTAGATACCAAGAGCGTACAGTTTTGAAGACGACATTTGAGAGAACAAGGTTTCAAAAATATATGTGGCACACTGTGTGTAATCTTGCGTAATCTTAAATTTGGGGTCAACACGTTCTTCTTCGGCGCCGGTTTTAAGTAATAACTTGTCTCGTTATTAGACGCGTTATCAAAAAAAGCATTGCGATTTCTAAGGTAGTTAGTTCTTGCGGCAAGACGCAATTAATTGTCGCCCGAGAGATCTTGCCCGAATTAAGAATATATTCTCGACTTTGACCTCGATTCGGACGAAAGCGTACGTCGAGGTATCTCGCGTATCCCCTTGAATCAAGATCGATCGCGACATTCAAATCGGCGCCGCCGTTTCTCCGGCGCGGAGTTTCACCGATTAACGTAAACGCGGCATCATCGTCGTCCGCGGGCGAGCGATCGAGGGCGAAGAGGAGGAACTTCCTCGTCGTGGAGAGTGCCGAGAAAGGCGATTAGCGACGGACCTCGTCGCCTTGGCAGTAGGATCACGTCGGCGTTAACACGCGCGCCAGGAATCCGCGTCGGGACGCATACCGATCGTCATTGTCGCGATCGACGATATTTTTTATCCGGAAACGTCCATCTCTCCCGCGCACGAGAAAGAGGAACGTCGGTTACCAGGCAAAAGAAGCTTATCATGCTGGAGAATAGAAGCTAATTGTACACAAAGAAAGAAAGAGAAGCCACTTTTATTAAGAAAGGAAGAAAATTTGATGAGGAACTTAACTAAATTAATCGAGAATTAATTAAATTAGACTGGCAAGGAATCAAGAAGAAAGACTCGTAATCAAGAAGAAGAAGAAAAAGAAATCGATCATTGGAGAATAATAAAAAAGGATCCCGTTATATTTTAATTTAATTAAATTAATTCTGTTGTCATTAGAGAAGCTTCTCTTTTTCTCTTTCGCTCTCTCGACTTCAAACTCTCTACAAATCTTGGATATCGAATAGAAAGAAAGAATTGAATGGGAAATTTTTCAAATGGAGCACCGAGTATATGCCGCAATCAGCAACGATGCGGAACCCGCTTTAAACCGCAGACCCTAGGCCGATGACCAGTTGTCGTACGGGCTAGAAAAGCAGCTAGGATCTTCGTCGGGATCACACGACGAGCCGGAAAGATCGCGAGGGAAATAAAGAAAAGGATAAGAGAGACATCAAGGACCTCGTTAAGAGTTCGGCCCGTTCATATTGTCGTACACGAGGATTCGGTGAGGGGCGTAATGCTCTGCAAGGAGACACGTGTAAATGGAAGTTAACTGCGACGAAGATGATGTTGACGCGACAACATAGTGATCGATTTGCTCACGACGGGCTCTGATCGACTCTCGAGAACGCTGCTTTCGTGACTTACGACGCACTGTATATAGCAGCGAGAGCAGTGTTCGCGAAATTGCACGTCTTCGCGTATACACCGGGTGTACGCTATGAACGACGACTTTGTCGGATACAACGGGTGGTACACAAGTAAGTACGTGGATTACTCAGCACTGATCGTTTGTTACTGCAATAATTGCTCGAGACGGACTCATTACGCATATATACTTCGATATTCCACAAAATATCCATATCCGAGCCTTAACATTATTTTTCTTATACTGTTTGACGTTGCTCGACTTTCTCTTTCTGGACGTTATGCGAGAGAAATTTCACAAGTTTCCTACGAGTTTACGAATATGCCGCACGAATTACTCTATAAGGTACAAATTATGAAGTCCTCCGCGAATATTTCCCGGATTAATCTTCAGGTCACGGTTGTTTCTACGTTCTGTAGTCCGCCCCATTAATTACGAAATTCGCTAAACTCCGCGAATCGTTCTGAAAGGCCGAAGAGACAAATTCTCCAGCCTCACAGCCGGTATCATTAGCATCGACCTTTTTATTCAAAATCATCCATCTTTCTCGCACCTCTCTTCGTCGCTAAGACAGAAAAATAAATAAATCGACCCTCCGCGCAAATTCTTGCCGGCAAAAACGTCGGTGATACCCGGGCCGGGCCGTCAAATGAAGATGGATGCGTCGGACGGCCGGTGCATTTATTTTTCGCGGATGCAAAACGCGAACGCGTTGCACAAGCTACCAACAAGAGAGAGAGAGAGAGAGAGGGGGGGAGGGAGAGAGAGAGAGAGAGAGAGCGGGGGAGAGAGAGGGACGAAAGAAAAGGAGCGAGAGAGAGAGAAAGAAGGGACGCGAGAGCACATTGTATCCGCTCGTAAATCAGCCGCGGCTCGAATTATTAGCGCGAGAGTTCGCGCGATCGATCACCGAAATCGATTTTACCGCTGCGGTACACGCGTCGAAATTAATATTTTTAATTGCGTGCGTTATACGCGACGGATGATTAACGGCCGCGGAAAAAAGCGCGCTGCGAGATCTCTTCTCGATCGCAAGATCAAGATCGCATCGATCTAAGTTGCGCATGTATTCTGCAACAACGCGATTTTCTTCTTGTGAAACTCTCTTAGGATATTAATACGACGAGGCGATAATTATTGTGATATACGGTCGATATTTCGTCGATGCCCCACACGGAACGTAAGAGCGAACCTAACTTGAATTCAAGCGACATTTGTCTTTGAAGAAGTGAACCTTTTCCTTCTCCGAGAATGGCGCGACTTGTGTGAAATCGAATCAAGACTCTAGTAGTACAGTTCATTGGCGTTGCACTGACCCAATATTAGTAATATTGGCGTACATTGGGCCAATATAGTTAATATTGGTTATAAATAAAATGTGAATAAATTGCCTGTATTGCACAACATGATTCTACCAATATATTGAAGCTACATTGAACCAATATAACTTAATATACAACCAATATTCTATATTGATTGGTAAAATGCAACTACTTATGTAATGCGTCTATTTTACAATATTGAGCTAATATTGAGTGTATCGAGACCCAATTTGTCAATATCGCCCCGATGAACTATGCTGCTAGGGAGACTTTGATCGATGTCGCTTTCGAAACGAAAGTCGTTCGAGCACAAGCAACTGAACAGAAATTGTGCCGACGCGCGAGAGAAGACACGTGTTCTCTAACAAGCATTGATTTGTCGCTTTAACTTCGTTGAAAGGAGGTCCAAGTCGCGTGGAGTTCGATTCGGGAATTCTCGCGTGAGAAAATTTCCCCGTCATCGTCGTTGTCACCGTCATCGTCGTGGGTTCTCGACGAAACGTCTCATTCCTCTTCTTTTTCCTTCACGACCACGACTTTCACCGCAACGTGCGTGTCTTGCGCGGTGCGGGAGTTCAGAGTTCAAGAAACGACCCGCGAGCATTGCTCGCACGTGAACGGCAGAAGGGTCCATTACGCGATACGCCCGTCTAGGTTTCTACTGATTTTAAGTTCTTTCCGAAATTCTCGCCATGATACGTGGTGGT